AGCACATACAGGGTTGAACCTGTCAAGAAGTTCACAAGTATGCCCGTTGAGAAAATCATCAAAAGAGTCATGAATGCTGCCCTGAAGAATGAAACCTACAACGAACTCAAATGCATTAAATTATGTCACTCCATTTCTACTGAAATAAGAAACAGAGTTATTTCTTTTTATTTTTAACATTTTTGTTCAATTTTTATCGTAAAACTCAACGTATCAAATAATTGCTGCCCTGTAGTAAGTGGAGAGACTTCACAATCTTCCACAATATTAAGCAACATTCTCACGTTGGAATCACAAATTGTATTTCCAATGAAAGAAACAATGCAAACAATGACATTTACACAGTGCTCGCATTCAAACAAAACTTCTCAGTTCTCGCGAACGCGAAACTACTAAATAGTAAATCATGAAATTTTCGACTTATACTTTTTTATGTAATTCGATTGGCATTAAATAATGAAAAAATGTCATTTTGTTAAATACTAATGTTAGTAATAATACAAATTTATTCGTATTTACAATGAGCAGGTCAAACAGTTCAACTTCTCCAGGTACAAATACATCTGCCTCGTGACCATATCCGAGAAGAGGTTCAGTGAGGTGAGGTTCAGTTCGAGGTGCCTTTGGGATCCCAAGGTAGACAACTATGCCTACTACCGCTTCGAGAACAGGGATCTCGTCGCTTTTGGAGCTGTTTATGCTTGTTATTATGAATGAATTGAACACGGTGCGCTAGAATAAAACATTCACTTCATTGCCGTGTAGAGATGATACCGTAACGATGATTATCTTGGTAATTTTGTTGTCATGTCACGTTGTTTGGATAGGAAATGAATTTTTGCGTCAAAAAATCTTGTTTTGATCATTTAGATTATCTGATTCGTTGATAGCATGAAGTAATCATATCTTAAGCTCCTTCAGAATCTCACCCGTATTCTCAGATTACTTATATCTGACTACTCATACCTACGGCCTCTCAATGTAAATATTACGGTATTTAGTAATAAAATTAAAACTTCAACCACCAAACATATTTTTCACTTTAGTGGGCTATCCATCGACTCTGTTAAAGACGTAGGTTGTGAAATAATTGAGCGAGATCATCGGTTCAGTTGTTTTAAAATTTTAAAAGATTGTAAAGACTAGAAAAAAATATGTATTTCCACACGACTAGAAGTTTCTTTAACGTTTCTCCATTAAAATGTGAAGTAATATTAAAATTATTAAAAATAATATTAAACATAATCTCAAATTAAAAATCACAAAATTAAATTTTCTTAAATTAAATTAGTTAAATTAAAAATTTATTATGTAAAGTATAAGTTTACAATCTTTAAATATATAGCGCTATTGGTAATCTTTGTTTTTCTTTGTGTCAAGTAACCCACGTTGTTTCTCCGGCTGCCTGTCTATATAATACGTTGAGGAGATCAATTTTACCACCGTGAATGAATTCCTAATTCTCTAGAAATTCCTAATCAATTTTCTCGTCACAGGTTAAACATTTATGTTTTTTAATTACGATTTGGCTTTTACTTTGATGTTTCTCTTCTCTGCTGAAGATGAATCATGAATGGCTTCCCGCTCTACTAAAATTAAAAATGATTTTGTATTTTAATTTTTGTTACGTTTTTGAATGTTTATTATTTTAATTTTATTTTATTAACTTGATTTTAATTAATCGGTGAACATTTATTTCGTTTAGTAAATTTTTCTTTATAAATTTGATGATATGTAAATATCAAAATCATGTCTGGTTTGTTGTTGGATCATATCATATGGAAAACAGCAGTTATGGTTTTGTTTGCTTTTGGTTATGGTTGGTTTCATTGACCCCAAGATGGCTCATGCTAGGCTTGCACTTGTGACTTGATCACACTACTGATTTCCCATTTGGCTCTTTTCATTTATTTAATTTTATGTTTTTGTATTGGTTTAATTTAATAATTTCAATATTAAATTTTAATGTTTAAACAAAAAATTTATTTAACTTTAACCTAATTTCATTAACAATATTTCTGGTTTTTTTGTTAGAAGGTAGAAGATTTTCCAAAGATTTACAATGGTTGTAGGTAAGACATCCATGACAAATTTTTTTCAATCATCTGGTATTGATGACACTGCCAACATTGGTGATACAACAAAATTAAGGTTAGGGTGTCTGGTATTTTATAACATCTTATATCCAAGACGGATTTCCAATTTTGTTTTGTCATTTTTATTTTCACCAAAGGAGCAATTATGTCTCTCATCATTTCATATCATTTCTTTATATGCAGTTTTATCCAAACTCTGGCCTGATCATGTTTCTTAAAAAACGTTTGACAGTGTTTCTAACTCTTCCCAGTTGAAACTAAAATAACCAGTCCAGTTTGAATGTTATACTATTGATCACATTTTCATTCGAATAATGCTAAAAAATATTTGATGTTGCCTTCAGTGTACAACCTGAAATCCAAATGAACATTACGCTTTTCAAATTTGCTTGCAGATAATAAATATAGATAAATAATAATTAATATACATACATTCATTTACATGTACATAAAGGAAACAATATAAAACCTGTACAAACATGCATACACGCGTAAATACAAACATACATAACATACACAGACTGATAAATATATGCAATGGTATTTGTATAATAACTTTTATAAAACAACATTATATTACTTACATTGATTAGCTGTTAATTAATTATTAAACACATTGACTGAACATTTTTTACTACTGCAATCAAATGTGGATGCATTTTAATTAGCTGGCTCTGTCTTGTGTGGATACAATATACATGTCCGCATGTGTATATGTATATTAAATAAGCGTATGTTGTCACAGGTTTGTGTATATTTATATACAGGTATATATATACAGGTATATATATATATATATATGTATATACATGTGCAGTACTGGATTATTCTTGCTGTTTGAAAAGAGTGTTTATACTATGTTACCTTATATTATGGTGCTCCTTAGCTTTACTGATGAATTGTTTTTATAGAAATTTGTGGTTGTGCTGTCTGATTGTATGTGTCGGTGTGTGAGTGGTTTTTTATTAATACTTATATGCGTGTGTGTGTGTGTGTGTGATAAACATTACAAAATGTGATTATGGCTGTATACAGTTGTTATATTGTTGATGATTTACACTGTTGTTTATCATTTTTTTGTTGGCTTGTGCCTATAAAAGGATTAGACATGTTTTGAGTTGGTTTTATTTGGTTTTCAGTCCGGCTGATGATTTATTTCTCTGTTTTTTATTTATTTTTTTATTAGGTTTGTTTTTATCATTTGAGATTTCATGGTTCTTAAATGGTAATACAAAGTTATTGGTCGTTTGTTAGTTGATCGATCGGTAAGAAAATATGCTAAGGTATCTATCTATCTCATGTGGATTAATTAATATAAATTTTAATCTATAAATTATTGAATGTATTTTTCTGGTTTGTAAATTGCTATATAAAACGTTACAAAATTTAACTCCTGTTATAAATAAAAATGCAACCACCAACCACCACCACCACACTGAAAAGTGGCAGATATGCAGGTTTGATGATAATGGCCTCGCTAAACTTGAAACCGGACAACATGATGAATGGCAACGTGAACCACCACGCAACGAACCACTTGGACAGCTTCTCGCTGACGGCTGCTAACGAAGAAGCCAAGAAAAAGCAGGATGAGGGCTTCAGCGTGGAGGACCAGAAACGTAGAGATGACATTCTAACTCGCATGAACACCATGAGGAAAGAGGGCAACCTCTGTGATGCCATCCTTGATGTCAAAGGTCAAAGTTTATCGGTTCACAGGGTCGTTTTGGCATCTTCGTGCACATTTTTCTATGAGATGTTTTCACTCTCTGAGTCTCGCAACAAGCGCGTCGACACGAAGGAACCATTCGTTCTGGAGGGCATGGATTTTGAAAGTGTCGAAAGGATTGTCAACTATTTCTACACGTCAAAGTTAGTTCTTTTTTTTTAATAAATTCCAACTTTCTGGTCGTCTTTTAATCATAGTGCTTTTATCACTGACATGAACATGTCCACTACCATTACATTTTTTTGTCCTCTCGATTTAATTTTTGAAAATTTAATAACTCATACTTGATTATCATGATGAGTTGTTATGGTGATAATTGGTGATGATGTTGATTGTAGAATAAAGATGCTGACAATGATTAAAAAGATAAGATATTATTGTATGTTACCATTGTTATAATTAGCCTAATTCAACAAAATCAGAAAGCAAATTGAATAAGATTTTTGATCAATTGCTGGCACAATGCAACTTAGTCTGCATGTAAATAGCAGGAAATTTGGTTATGTTTGCAATTACACAAACCAGCCTGCATTTTATATTTCTTTTTATGATCTATGTTCTCCATGGAAGTTAATTGATTGTATATCATAAAATGTTGCTTAGCTAAAAAATTGATTGAATTTTCCCTTGTTATCTCTTTATGAGGCGTTTTTTGTTTTGTTGTTTGATTTGGCTAATTATTATGCTCCATTAAACAATGAAAGAATGTTTTACATGTATAAAATATCTACACAATGTTTGTCCCTGCTGATTTCATTGATTGCACATTGCTGTTGGGCGCTGTGTTTGTTTGTTATTTATTATTTCTCCTCTTTATTTTATTTACTTCTTAGTGCACTTGCTTCTCCTTAGTAATGAATGAATGAATTTGAATTAATTCTTTGATGTTTTAATTAGAAATAATGGTCACTGCATGTTTTTTTGATGTGAGGTTCTACAAGGCATGCATGTGCTGTTAGAAGTAGCATTACAATTACAGGTGTAACATTTAAAACATTCATTAGATTTAAAACAATAGTAAAAGCTTAGATAAAATAACACACATACACACATATACATATATATATATATGTATTACTAATATATATATACAACAACAACAACACACGTTTAGACGACATTTTCCCCGAGATCGGGGGTTGCCGTTTGGCTACCTATGATGAAACCAAAATACCCCTCGACGCCATCCACACCTGTCACTCGCCTCAGTATCATGCAACCCCGCTTTCACCCTGTCCTTCTCCACCTGCTCTCTCCATCCCAATCGCGGACGACCTCTTCCTACCACTTCTTCAACCTCAAACTCCAACGCTTGTCTAATCCCGACCCTTTCATCCCTTCTCAACACATGTCCATACCACCGCAATCTCGATCTCCTTATCAATGTCACAATGTCCTCATTCAGTCCCATCATTGACATCAGCTCTGTACTACTCCTCCTATCCTTCACTTTAACCCCACACATCATCCTCACCATAGCTCTTTCAGCCCTCTGCAGTACACTTTCCTCCTCTCTCCTCAACACCCAAGTTTCACCACCATATACCATCGCTGCTCTCACACATGCTTTATATACCCTCTCTTTCATCTTCACTGACCATTTCTTTCCACACAATACCCCACCCAGTTCCCTAAATTTCATCCATCCTACACGAACTCTAGCCGTAACTGCGCTCAAACATCCTCCATCCGCGTTCAGCTTATCCCCTAAGTAAACAAAGCTTTCCACTCTTTCAATACCACCACTCAACCCCGTCCTTGCGTCCGTCCTATTAATCACACCACGAACACATTTCTTACGTTTGAACGTGCCTTCCACCGTTTTCAGTGCCCCCCTCACACCACTACATCTCTTATGCACCCATTTCTGACATCCTATACACAATACTGAGTTAGCCTTCACTCTCCTGTCACATACCCCACAGGGGTCTATTTTACTTATCACTCGCTCCCCACCTTCCCCACTCACCATTACATTCGTCTTACCAATATTAACTTTTAACCCTTTCTTTTCAATAACACTTTTCCATCTGTCAAATTTTAACTGCAATTCTTCCATGCTATCAGCCATCAAGGCTAAATCGTCTGCATACAAAATCTCAAATAACAATCCCTCCATTATGTTTCCACACACAACATCCATCACAATTGCAAACAGAAACCGTGATAACACTGATCCTTGATGCACTCCTACCTTAACACTAAAAGCGTCCGACATCCCCCTTCCAACCCTCACCTTTCTCTTAGCCCCTTCATACAGCTGCATCACAGCTTTAACAAGTCTCTCATTCACTCCTTTCTTCCTCAACGCCCATTCAATGACCTTCCTTGGTACTCAATCAAAAGCCTTTTCTAGATCTACAAAACACATGTACAATCTTCGTTTCTTCTTTCTATAATTCTCCTGCAACATTCTCACCATGAACAATGCATCCACCGTTCCCCTACCAGGCATAAACCCACACTGCATTTCATTAACTGTCACCATATTTCTCAGCCTCCTCTCAAGCACCCTCTCCACTACCTTCATTCCGTGCTCTAGCAATTTCACACCCCTAATGACCCACAATCTCTGATCTCCTTTGCCCTTATACAATGGCACCAACACACTGTCGCCAATCCTCAGGTATACCTTCATCATCAAACATACTGTTAGCAATTCTCATCATAACTTCAATTCCTATCACCCCACTCGCTTTTATATGTTCTGCCGCCACTTCTGAAACCCCTGTCGCCTTACCTAGTTTCATTTCTCTAACTGCTTTCTCTACTTTCTCCATCGTCACCTTCTCTATAGGACCGCGGATTCCACATCTCCATCCCACTCATTCTCTTCATTCATCAACCTTTCCATATGAGCTTTCCACACCTGAGCTTTTTCCTCCTCATCTATGCACAACTTGCCAGATCCATCCTAAACACATCCATTCCCTATAACATCTTTCCTATCCCTCATTGACTGCTTGCTACTTTGAACATTTTCCTCGAACTCACATCAAATTCCATTTCCTTCATTAACCTATCTGATGCTTTCGTCATTGCAGTTGCCACTGCCTGTTTTGCAACCTTCTTAGCCTTCCTATACTCAAACTCTGCTTCCTCCATCATGTCCCTTCTCCATACCCTAAACCTCTCCTTCTTGACCTCCAAAACCCTTCTTATATCTTCATCCTACCACCACGTCTCACCATGCCTACACTTTCCTTTCCTCCATCCACATACTTTATCTGCCGTAGCCAACACACAGTCCCTGTATCTCTCCCAAACATCTCCATCCTTACCACTCTCCCAATTTTCAGCCACCTTCACTTCAAATGCCTTCCTCACCTCTGCATCCTGCAACTTCCATGTCTTTCTCTTTGCCAAAAACTTATCCTTCTTCCTCCTCCCCATTTCTTTTGATGTCACATCCATCACAACCATACTATGCTGCAGCATACCAGGTATCACCTTCACATTCTTCACATACATCCTATGTTTGACCCTTACTAATATATAGTCTATCATCGACCTATGCTCCCCTGACCTATATGTAATCAATCGCGCTGGTACCCTTGTAAACCAGGTATGCCCCACCACCATGCTATGTGCATCCACCAACTCCAACACTCTACGCCCTTCCTCATTCCGTATACCATATCCCCATCCCCCATGTACACCTTCATATCCGTCTGCATCCGCCCCCACATGACCATTCAAATCACCCAACAACACCACAAACTCATCCAACCCGGCAGAAGAGGGTGCGAAGAATCTCCGGAGACCCAGTCCATGGGGTTGTGGTGCAAGGCATATATATATATATATATATATATATATATATATATATATAATGTATATTATTTGTGTATGCGTGTGTGCATGTATATGCTTGAATGTTGGGATTAGGACACCTGGAGTAATGGTTGTGTTATTAGTTTCCATCATGTTGCATATAAGTCATGGAGATCTTTAGAGAGTCTAATTGACAGTGCATGTCTGCTGCTGTTTGCTTGGTTAGACACACATGCATGAAATCATCACAGGCATTAGCGCCATCATTATCAGCAGATAATTTTCCTTCTCCTTCGATTTTTCTTGTTACTTGAGTTACTTGAAATTTTTTACTGACACACTTTTATATTAAGTAGCTAATTAATGTCACTACTGTAATTTAGATTAGATGTTTTGAGCACATTTAACTCATTTTTAGGCTAAATAGAATATTTGGAAAATTGTTAATAGTTTAAGTTATCTTAATTACCAAAAAAAATGAATTTTAATGAATATTCAAGTAAAACAATGATAAACTAGCCAATAAAACAATTTAGTTATTCTGCAAAAATGCTCATTTGGAGATTGTATTAAAAATAATTAATAAATTTTCTGCATGGTTATATTTAATTTTTATTGTTTAGGGTTATTATCATTATTTCTAGTCTAGTATTAGTATTATCCCTAATGCATCTCATTTCATACATGTGCACATTTCTCTATGTAATTCAACACCGGTTGGTTTTTATTTTCCTGTAAAAGAAAAATGAAAAATAATCCTAAAAATAATCAATAATATTGGCAATTATAAATGGTGTGTGTTTAGTTTATATAAATGGGTTTCTGAATAATATTTTCCCAAAATTCTAAATAATTTAAATTATATGTTAAATGTTGACTGATTCTGTAAGACCTGTGAAATTGGTAAAGTTTTGCTCATTTTAAGATTTATCTATCTTCACGGAGTTTATCACCTATGAAACCCTATTGGTATCACTCCTATTAACTTTCACCATCCCATTTCTAGGCTTAATTTCTATTTAACATACTTTGATTTCTCTGTTTTATTGGTTTGTGATTTTAAATATTAATTTTGTTGGCTTAAAATTGTAAATATTTGTTTTATATTTGAGGGATTGTTTTTCTTTTCGTTGTTTTTTATCATTGTTATTTGGGAAATTTCTTGAAAATGGTTTTAGTGTGGTATCTCTTCATGGTATTTCTCTTCAACTTCATATATTTAACATTGGTTTTGTCTGAACGTGGATTCAAAATAATTTTGAATTTTGTACAGGAATCTAAACCACAGTTAAATAGCAGACATATTTTCAAAACTAAGCAGGCACACAGTGTAATTAGAAAAAAAATTTACTAGGTAGTTGAGGAAAAATTTCAACTTAACTTTAAAGTGGGTTTATACAGGGTAGTTATTTTTAGTCACTGAGGAAGTGGCTTGTTCACCAAATGACTGACTGTCTCTTTTCTCTCTGTTTCTCTCTTTCTTTCTCTCTCTCTAGCTCTGGCTCTCTCTTTCT